ATGCCCATGGAATCGGTTTTCAAAATCACATTCAGAGCCACTTTTTAATCCGCATCCAGAATTATTGTCTATGACCAAAAAAGATTGGGAGGAAATCACAGAAGATACGTTTAGAAAGGTATTTAAAAAATCTGCTGTAAAACGTACTAAATACTCAGGGCTTGCTAGAAATATAGATTTTTTGAAAAAGTAATACATTACCTTTAGTAACTGTGCTCATAAGGCATTCGGAGAACACGCTTATATTTTAATGCATATAATTTTAGCTTTATAGTGAAAACCCAATGCCTGTAAACTAATCGTTTCTTCAACTTTTTAATGTTGTAAGACAAATACATAACTCTGATTTTTAGGTAAATATAAAAAACATTACATAAAATTTACAATTAATTAACATTAAATTTACATTGAAAATAAGTTTTACAACTTTAGAGTGTCTTCATTTTTATAAAAATTTCAGTGTTTCCCTAATAGGATTGTTATATTTGAAGCTTAAAGAATTTCTTTTAAGCATTGCTTGAAAGTTTCATTTGAAACTGTCATTCTCGCAAAGGCGGGAATCAAAAACTAATCCATCATGAGCGAAGAAAGTAAACGAAGAGAGGCACTCATATACCATGCGAAACCCACTCCGGGTAAAATCAAGGTAGTTCCTACCAAAAAATATGCAAGCCAACGCGATTTATCCTTGGCGTATTCTCCAGGTGTAGCAGAGCCTTGTTTGGAAATCGAAAAAGATAAAAATCAAGCTTACAGATATACAGCTAAAGGCAATTTGGTAGCGGTAATTTCTAACGGAACAGCAGTTTTAGGTTTAGGAAATATTGGCCCTGAGGCTTCAAAACCTGTGATGGAAGGGAAAGGACTGCTCTTTAAAATTTTTGCAGATATCGATGTGTTTGATATTGAAGTAGATACTGAAAATGTAGATGCATTTATTGAAACTGTAAAAAATATTGCACCAACTTTTGGAGGTATCAACCTTGAAGACATTAAAGCCCCCGAAGCGTTTGAAATCGAAAGACGTTTGAAAGAGGAACTGGATATTCCAGTAATGCATGATGACCAGCATGGTACAGCCATTATTTCAGCCGCAGCTTTGATAAATGCATTGGAACTTGCTAAAAAGAATATTGAAGACGTTAAAATTGTAATTAGTGGTGCGGGAGCTGCAGCAATTTCGTGTTCACGCTTATACCAATCCTGTGGGGCGAAGCGTGAAAACATGGTAATGTTAGATAGTAAGGGGGTAATTCGTGATGATAGGGATAACCTTACCTCACAAAAAGCAGAATTCGCTACGCATAGAAAAATCGATACGCTTGATGAAGCTATGGTTGATGCTGATGTATTTATAGGGCTTTCCATGGCAGACATAGTTACACCCGAGATGCTGAAAACCATGGCGAAAGACCCCATAGTTTTTGCAATGGCAAATCCAAATCCTGAGATAAAATACCAATTAGCGGTAGATACGCGCGATGATATCATTATGGCCACAGGGCGTAGCGATCATCCAAATCAGGTAAATAATGTATTAGGTTTTCCATTTATTTTTAGAGGTGCGCTAGATGTTCGTGCTTCAAAAATAAATGAGGAAATGAAAATTGCTGCTGTAAAAGCCTTGGCAGCTTTGGCTAAAGAACCTGTGCCAGAACAGGTAAATGTAGCTTACGAACAAACCCGTTTGGCATTTGGTAGAAAATATATCATTCCTAAACCATTCG